ATTTTTTGCTTTTTTCTCTTCATTAAGAAGATAATTTTTATGTAGAACTAATATGTTCACAGTAATAATTTTATTTCTCAAATGCTGCTCCATGTGATGACTACTCCTCGATGCCAATTTATGTATTCCACTACAGTAATTTTATCTACTGTGACATGCATATTTTATCATTACATTTCTATGTTGTATTGTCATCTACTGTTGATTCTATTTTGATATACCTGATGTTGTAGCTTAAATAAAGAATGAAAAAATAATTTTAAAATTGTATACAAAAATAATAAATAATTTGAAAAGCTTATTAAAAATATTAAACGGAGGTATGAGATATTCCATGATAAATCACTATTTTCTGTGAATTTGTGCTTGAGAAAAGCATCTATTAAATAAATGTAATATTGTTCATACTATCTTGCCAGACAGCATAGAAATTGCACACTATAGATAAAATGAAATTGTCCTTCTCTACAATTTTTCATTATTTTAACTTATTTTTATAGCATGTTGTGCATTTCTAAATCCACTGAAAACAAAATAAACTAAAAGTAAATAAAAATACCAATTAAAATAAAAATAATAATATAGGCCTACATATACCATCAAAAAAAAAATAATTTCATGCAAATAACAGTATAGCAAATATATGTCCATATTTTAATACATGGGCTTGTCTTACAATTGTCAGAAATTAGTTTAATATATACTGATAATTGGTGATGCTACATAGAAAGTCTAAATGTAACTCTGATTCTCCACATATAAATCAACATAGTAAACACTTGTAGCAAGTTATCCTAATAAGAATTCTATAACCAGGGACCCAAAAACATAGTATTGCCCCAATAGCTCTACCTCAGAAAAAAGCAAAAATCAAAAATATGAATCTCGTATCAAGAATTGTTACACATTGCAAAACATAAGTAAAAAAATTATATATGTCAAAAGGTAGTCTATAGATGTCTTTTTATAAGTATGTATAATTACCCTTATGTACCAAGCAATATTAAGTCTTATATAGGAAAAAAGAAACAAAGAATAAAAAATCAAAACTCAAAAGAAAAAGGCAGTGTAGCAATATAAGGTGGATCTCACCCAAGAGGCTTATGGGCTGACCAAAAATATTTTTTTAATGGAGTGGAGCACTTTCAGAGCCTCTGTGTGGTGAAGTCCTTAAACGCATAATTGGCACCAAAGCGCCGACTTGATGCCGATGAAATTCTGTATGTATTAGGCAGGAGACCACAGTAATCTACCACAATGCAGCACCAATACTTCTAAATGGTGGCAGCTGCTATGCATACGGACCAGTAGGTCCTTCCAAGGAAAAAAGGAGAAAGTTCTAAAAGCTGGGGGAGCAATAGAGAGATCAAGTGCCAATGTTTTAAAACTGCTTTTTTAACCTTATTACTAATTGTGGTACATGGAGAACTGAAAGGAATCCTTTCCAAGGATTCATTCTTCTTGATGTCCGATACAGACTCAAACAGTGTTTCTCTTTGTATATTCTGTACCCTATTTCTTTGTTTGTGCAAAATCTAAGTCATAGCCCCTCTCTATAAATCGTGTAGTCATCTCATTGAGCCGTAGTTCGGACTATTCTGATTTTGAAATATCCTTTTAGGACTTACAAATTGGCAATATGGTAAACTTTCCTTAAAATGAGTAGGATGTACTACTGAATAGGAGTGAATTGTTCCTATCTGTGGCTTTAGTATACAGATCTGTTTCCAGTCTACCCTGATCTAGCCATACCCTGGAGTCATGGAAGGGTACTTTCTGTGTACTAATTGTGGCTGTGATTTGAATATTGCTGTCAAGACAATTTATTACTCTTATAAATTGTTCCAAGAGACTGCGTGGTCCCACCCAAGACATTTGACAGACATAACAAATTGTGAATGGAAGTATATAGACTCTGTGGCAACATTTAATTCTTTGTGTGTTATTAGTTTAAGCAGACTGTGATTGTCTATTATTGTGACTTAGATGATGATCAGATCACATTTTATGACCAATTTGTGCAGAAATCCATATCATTCCAAAGGGTTCACATACTTTTTCTTGCAACTGTAAATAAAATTAAATAAAACAAACCACCTTGAAGTCACTGAACATGAAAATGTAAGTCGTTTTTGTGAAATGATGACAAACTTATGGTATTCCATTTGAAGGGAGTAAGTAAGACCATAATTATTATTGATACCCTAAAGAAGCAACATGCATACATTAAATGTTTTGGCATGTTTTGTGGGAGTCACAAGAGACCGCATTTGAAACAATAGAAAGAGCAAGCCTAATTCAAGAAATAACAGATTTGTATAGTGTGTTTTTGTATAAGAAGTTTGAATGTCATATGTTACACGGTGTGGCAGCTATCTTGGCTAATGTGTGTATTTTTTAGTAGTTATATTAATATTTTATCTTAAAGTGCTTGTGGCACAAATGTAAAACAACGTGTGTGCAGTTATGTAGTAGACAAGAACCAGTGTGATTTGGTGTCTATTTTAGATTAGTCAATAAAATGTGTTTTCTTCAGAAATAACTAAAACAACAATAAATACAAAATTGTTTTCCCAACTCTAGAGTGCCCATTGCACTAAATGGATTGTTTGCCCCCTCGGTGTTGGAATGGCTAGAAACCATTTTACCTCTTTTTAGATATTCCATCTCTGTCTTTTCCGACATCTCACTGGGGGAATCTAATGCGCATGAGTGGTGCGTGCCACGCGCATTAGACCCTCCCCATAGGAAAGCATTAACTCAGTGCTTTTGCTTTCCAATGGGAATTAGCAAATGCTGTGAATCAGTCTGTGAAACAGTGACTCTAGTGACTCTTTGGTAGACAGCTACTAGAGGCAGTCTTAATCCTGCAATGTTTGCAGCTGCATAGTTAAAGGGACCAAGACACTGCACCAAGACCACTTCAATGAGATATCTGTGTATAAATAGTGTTTCTTTAAGTAAAAAAAGCTGCTGAAGAAAACTTGTTACAATCTGTGTGGTGATAAATAACAGTTGTTAGCTCTGCCATTTGTAATATGGAGCCATTCTGACATATGGTCAGTTATACTGGTTTCAAATATAGAAATTCTGTAAATAGGTTTTAATAATTGCATAAATATGTTATATATGTTGCTCTACCTTCACCTGTGCACAGGTCGTACCCTTGTTTTTACACTTGACTACCTACATTGCTGTTTGCAGCTATATTTAATTATTGTGTTTACATCAGTAAAACTATGCTGATTTTACTTGTATTTCAATCTTTTTCTGTGTATGCAGTTATATCAGAAAAAATGTGTATATATAGGAAGTGTCAGGCAGATAGAGAAAAATGATATACATTTATCTGGGATTTTATCTGATTTTTATCGAAACGTTTCATAAGATAAATAAAAACTAAGCAGAAATGTGTATGAGAAAATATATTTGAAGTTTAGAGTGAAAGAAAGATGAAAGGAAAGAAAAAGCTGAGGAGGGACACTGATAAGTAAATTATCATCTGCTATCTTGTTTATGAGGCAATTGTTATAAATTTGGTGCATCAACATAACATAGTGAAGACACGAACACAAATACTTGGATTTTACTGTGCAAAATATACACATTCTATTTGCAATAATGCATGCCATGAAACTTTATGATTTAAGTATCTAAAAACGTCCCACTTAAAAATTTAAATCAGCCTTTGCATGTCGTATAGTAAAAATGATATCCATTTATCAATGCTCATTTATCTGCTGACATTTTGTAACAGGAAAGCAGATATTTATCATTTAGTAAGCATCTTTGTAGTCACTAGTTCTGTTCTCACTAGAGTATACTTTTTTTATAATACAGAATGGTGGGAGATTTTTAATGATGAAGGATTGCAATGTATTGTGTAAGTTTTGTAAACATCCTACATTTTCATTTGTACTTCAGAAATACAGAAGCAGATTTATAAATTACAGTAATGAGAGGAATCCTAACTCTGTTGGAAACTGTTAGCTTTTGGATATATAATATATGATGATTGCAGATTATGTTATATACAATAGATTAAGACTACAGTGTCAGATGGGTCCTTTATTGCACAAAGGCTTAAAAAGAAAGTGAAATAAAAGTAAACCATGTACTTTAGTGGTTTGCATAAAATGTAATGGGAATGATTTTGAAGTACCTAACAATCAGTTTAGATGGTTTAGTGTGGTTATTGGTTTGTTTTTAATTGATATAATTAGTTAGTGCTTAGGGATTGTTCTCATGTAATTGCAAGGTCAGAAGATACATTGATGCATGTAACTATGTTGCACTAACAAGATAGGACCATCTCTCTTTACTTAATCAACTTCCACTTACATGTACATTCACTGATTATGTTATATTGTTAACCCTTTTACTATATAAGAGCATATGTGATCTCATTAAAGTGAATATGATAGTTCTTTGGAATTCACACCATTGATTAAAAGATTGAAAATCCACTATAACCTTTGTCATGAAATGCTCTTCTTTAACATTTTTGTTAAGGAAATGACATCACAATCTAGTTCAACCAAGGCAAGGACAGGACATGCCTTGCAAAAGAATAGGAGAAATAAAAGCATTTTTATTTATTTTTTGTTACATTTATTCCCCCTTCTCTGTATGCTTTTTCTACACTGACTGTTAACTCTAAAGGACAGAGTTTATAACAATGATCGCATGGCTAAGGTACATTTATTAATTGTTTTTTTAATACTACGCATATATTCACATGTGATACGTAAAGATTATATTAAAAATCTTGTGTATTGTCAGTTTCCCTTTAAAGAATGGGAGTTGGTTGCTGTCAAATGTAGTTTTATAGTTTGATTTTTCTAGGGCAGGGAATAGTGAATTAGTTACCATCTACCAAATGATAGATATATGCTTACAGATAGAACTCAGCATCACATTTTCTTAAAGAAAGCTTACATTGCATTCAGTATTGTGGCATAATCATTGATTTGTCAATGTTTATCTAAATTACAAAGATATTACTTATACAATGACTGTTTCATATCATTTGTGTCTACATTATTATTCTCTAATGTTATATTATGGGAGGATAAATATACTGCAGATACATTACCCTATAAGAACAAGATCAGGTTAAGGACATTTATTAGAGCCCATTAATCCTACTCATGAGAAGGTGATGATTAAAAAGAATAAGTAGAATATAGAATTTATTTTATTTAATTTTCTTCTTACTTTATCGATTCTTGCATACCATCACAGTATTCTACAGTATATATCACACATTGTGAAGAAGGTAAAATTGATTTTTTTTTCAACTTTCTCAGACTGAAGAGAAAATATTCATGTGCTTCTAAATACCAGGATGTCTCATAGAGGTTTTAACTAAAGTCAGGCATGCATTAGTGTTTGGATTTCTGACTTGATTTAAGTAATATCTATGTATGGTAAGGATCTGACAGGATTGTTCCAAAAACCCACATTCTGTCATAAAAGATGACATTGTTAAAATTAGTTTTACTTGTAGAGCAATCAGAGTTAGCAGAAATCTATGATCTGCAAACTTTCTTTGTCTTTGTCTTAGGGATGAGCATAACCACCTGGCTCGGGGATCCTGATTACCACAGATTTTTTTAAATTGGGAAATTGTGGATGGTTAGCTCATCCCACGAAACACTGAGAATATATATTACCCAGTCAACCAGTAACAACATATAAAGGGTAGAGAAACTTAATTAGACATCTAAAAAAAAAGAATTCAAGAACTTAATTGTGACAAACTTCCCTTTTCAAGTGAGTTTGCCACAGGCTCCTGGAGAAGCCTGCTTGCCAGCCTCCTGCCCACTGACTATGGGCCCTGCAAGGAAACCTGTAAAAGACTACCAAACTTGACCGACTGTTAGCACTGATTTCCCTGGAACTGTTTTGGGCATGGGGCCATGCTTGCGGTCGGTCAAAACTATGACTTCCAGGAAATTCCTGAACCCCTGAACAGATCTGGGTGATTTTTGGATATGTTTTTACCTAGATCAGGGCATTGATGTGACTTTTATGGGGATATGTTGGATTTTGTGATTTTTGCTACTTTCTAAACTTTGTGAAAATGTGTTTTTTCTGCCTGGAGATAATTGAGTTACTTAAATGACTTTACTCAATTATCTCCTAAGCAGAAGGGAGGGATTGTGTGCTATACATGGGCATGTCACAGACTGTATGTTTGTTCTGATTGGTTTATGTCCTTTGTGTTCCTGTGCCCCATCAGGTCCAGGGGGTGTTCCTCTGGCCTGGAAAATTGTATAAAAGGCCAGTGTGTCCCATTAAACTAGAGATTCCTGCTTACACTCCAAAACTGTTATTGGAGGGAAAGAAGATTTGCTCCTGTGTCTGCTGTTCCAGCTTGCAGGAGATTCAACAGGGAAAGTCCTTGTAAGGAGTAGAGCTAATTCCCCATTCGGTTCCAGACTTCCAAGGACTGAGTGTCGTCCAGTGCCTGGAGGTGTCAGAGCTAATTTTCCCTTCGGATCCAGGAAGGAGGTGGCAGTTCCAGGGCCCGCTACGGCGACTGAGGGCAAAAAGTGCTGCGGTTTGTACCTGTTCCAGCTAGGAAGCAGTCTTTGGCAGAGGTACCCAGTCGGGGTGCCAGGTGATCCGTTACACCAATAGTAAAGGGAAACAAGAACATATTTAATAAGACTTGAAAACTTTTGTATAGTTCACACAGGTAAACAGATAACAAGGCAACAATGTATAAGCTTAAGAAAGTATCAAACAGATACCGGAACTGGAACATCGTAAATGGCAACAAAATGAGTTCTGTAAAAATAAATTAAATGTTGTAACAAGTCTCTGAAAACAGATTCTTTATGCATGAAGCACATGAGAATTCCATATTGCAGATATTACTGGCAACCAATCTTCCTACTTAGGTGGATCCTTGTTTTTTTGGTCTTGTCTTGGAGTATGGTTATAGTCTGTCAAAAACAGAAAGTTGTTAGAAATAAGCTGTAAACCACAATATAACCTTTTATAAAGAAACAAACTACCACCATCAGACAAAGCCCTTACACTAGAGAAGGGTGGGATGGGCGCTATTGCTAGGTGGTTATGGTCATCCCTAAGACAAAGAAAGTTTGCAGATCATAGATTCCTGCAAACTCATATTTGTCCTTGGGGAGGCATGACCACCTAGCAAAGCTAGTGGGTAGAACAGCCCGCACCTGGTGGTGATCCTAAGAAACTCAAAGTGTTTAATTTCTGATAACCTCCAGTAAAATCTAACAAAGGTTTTACTGGGCAACCACCTTTCAGCTTTCACTGAAAACCTTAAAAAGAGGAGTTTTAAACCCCTTTGAAAAATCTTTACAGCCCATTTGTCTGAATAAATATCCTTCAAATTTAGTGGCGTGTGAGGAGGCACACTTATGTGAATGCATGAGTTTTCTCTTGAAAGCTGGACTACCTCTGGTATGAGCTCCGCTGCCACCGCCTGGGAGCTTGTGTTTTTCACTGTAGTGGTGGTACTGGGCCTGGTGAGATGCTTCTCGGGACGCTCCTGCAGCCCAATAGGGGCGACCCTCTTTCCGAAAGGGCTTCTTGTAGCCAGGAAAGGACTTTTTGAGCTCTGAAAATGATCTCCTTGTCTTATAACGGCCTTTAACTTCCTAAATGAATGAGGGACTAAAAAGGTAAGAATCCTCCAAATTTGTGAACTCATGTGATTTAGGGGCTAGGTCAAACACTCCTGCTGCATGGAGCCAGCGGGTTTTGCGAAAGTTTAAGATGTAATTAAAGGATTGGCCAATAATTAACACTGCGCTGCCGGACGCTTTTAATAAAGCCATCTTAGATGCCAGCAAAGGTGAAGCAGAGGGTTTCTGAGCATTGCCTTCTTTTTCTGCTTTATCCAGCATCAGTAATAGTGGGCCCACAGCATGAGTAATTTTAAACTGTATATTATGAAAAGTCTGGTCTGTGGGATCTGTAGCTCTCTGGGATAGATAATTTCAGGATCTACCTGATGAGCCATTAAAGCTTGGATGTCCAGAATACCAATAGTTCCTGGGGAGAAGGTCATCCTCCTTAACCAATGGGGATCTAAAGGCTAGTTTGGGAAAATCTCTAACCTCAGACTCTTGCTCCATAACCCGTCTGGAGTAAAATAGCTTTGATTGGAAAGTTTTTTCTAGGAGACTCACTATAGCCATCTGAACGTTGCTAAGTTTCCCTCGCTCAGTGGAAGTTGCTGAACAGACCACTTCCCCAGATTCCTAGTCTATTTCTGGAGAGCCGTGTCTAGAACTGGATTGGCTTTGGGAGGAGGAATGAGAAAACGCTCTAGAAGAGGAAGGAGAAGGACTATCTAACCTCCGAGATTTGTCCTTTTTCTCTGGAAGGTGTTTCTGGTGCTCAAACGAGGGAAACAAACTATTCCTCTTTTATGATCCTGTCCCTGTGATCCTGTAATTTTGCGCTTACTCAAACGAGTATTAGGGGAAGGAGGAGCAGTATAATTTTCCTCAGACAAGAAACTGACAGAAGAGACCAGCTGCCTTTCTTTATTCTTTTTACGTAGAACTGGGACCATATCCTCCTCAGAAGATGAAGAGGATAGATCCCTGGCAAGGAAAGCTCTCTTATGGAGCTTTCTAACATTGATGGGACAGCCTCTAAGAGAGGCATCCACTAAATATGTAGCAGACACAGATATGGAGTCCTCTATCAATGATGCAATTTTCAAAATCTGAGGTAATCAGGATCCCCATGCTCAGCACGGCTCTCCTGATTACCTGATTGCCTGAAATGCTGTTGCTTTGCAGGAGCACAGCACAAGCGTTTTTCAGCTCTGGCATTTGACTCAGAGAGGCTGCCGCATACCCACTAGCTTTGCTAGGTGGTTATGACTCCCAGAGGACAAATGGTGGAAACCTGCTGAACAGTTCAATATTCAGAACCCAACAGTAGCTGGACCCAAATGAGACACATTGCGGATAAAACCATTCACATTTTATGTATAGTAAAAAGCAATTCTTTTTATGTCATACTAAAAATAATTAGTAAGCTGTAAGGTTATTGATTAGTCGATGTGTTATTTTGTGGTATTACAGCTCTCTTTCTACAATATCTATCTATCTATCTATCTATCTGACTGTCTGTCAATTATCTATTGTCTGTCTAGCTGTCTGTCTATCTATCGTCTGTCTGTCTGTCTATCTATGTCTGTGCTTTCTGTCATTTGTCTGTCTTGAGGCTTCTTTTAATTTGAACATCAAATTGGGTGATGTCTTCTTTGAATTATTCTCTGTAATGAAAATGCTCTTCAGTCAGCCATTCAGCAAGAGATTTATATGTCCCTGTTGACTTGAAGAGCCTTCAGGTTGTTGATATCATAAGGTTTGCATGTTGATGTCATTTGAAATAAATAGTTGAAGTGGCTTGGAGTTAAAGGAGCTCTCCTGCGGTCACTGTTGCAATCTACTTGTTCCTGCAATCTACTTTTTTTTTTTAAGCTACAACATTATGGTCCACGAATAGAAGAAAATGTATTGCCTCAAATGCTTATATTTTGCTCAGAAGTTAGCCTGTAAGCCCTGTTAGTAAAAAAAAATAATAATAATAAAAATATATATATATATATATATATTTATTTTTTTTGACTTTTGAGTGAACTCATTTTATGTGCTATGCATGTTTTTACAGGCACCAGTAAATTCAACCCCTAGTTGTAAGGTTCTGATTATCTCAGCTGAAATCTTTTCCCATTTAATATCTGTGAATAAAACATTTAGATTGTGCTTTCATCTTGAAATTAATTATAAGCTTTTAAGAAATAAGCAATATGATAGACAAAACCAGCAACAACAAAAAACTCTTTCAGAGAAAACTCTTTCAGAGAAAAAAAAAACTTTTTATTTTTAATTCATCTTTTACAGGATCTTGTAACTTAACTAGGCACCAAATTAAATAAACATACTATACATGTGTACATATTTATGGTGTATACATGCAAAGAAAACCAGATAGTATATGTTAAGGGACATTGTTACTATGCTAATTTTTTTATAAGTTCATGGAAATTAAAATTTGGCAGTAATATATCAAATAGTAAATTGAGTTAATTCTGTTCGATTAATAAAGTAATCAGATTGTCATCCTAAAATTGTTTATATAAACATTTTACATTTAAATATATTATTATATTGCAACAGTTACCTTTTATAAATAAATGTTATTTTGACACTTGAGCAAGTTCAATGTCACAGTTAACTTGTTTTGTACTTTTGATATAACTTTTTCCAGAAGGTGGCACCAAAAGACTCAGAATTTATTCCTGATGAGCAAGATAGACATTCCCATTCTTCAGCTTGAAAGCATTTGTTCACTGACAGACAAATTGCATAGAACGTTCAAGACAGGAAAACATTTTAATTTGGTAGACATTGAACAGCAGGCAATCTACAGCATGTGTTGGCATTTTAAAGTGTATGTGAAGCTTTGAAATTGCAAGCAATAGAAACATACTGTCTTTAGTTAGAAGTAGCATAAATTAAAGCTTAGGCTCTTTACTTAAAGATCATCTGCTTGATGAAAGCATTTCCTTTCAGAAACCGTGCTTTAATTTACCAAGTTGAGAAAAGTTTTCATTTGCAAAGAGTAAGAACAAAAAAAATAAAAAGAAACAAACATACCCATTATTATATTTCTGGAGCATTATAGTATATTCCTCATAATAGGACAATACAGACATTATAACAATTAGCCACATTTATTTCCCAAGATAAAATACTGAAAAAAAAAACAATAATTTCATTTTGTAGTGAATATGGTTCACTTTTAGCTCATAAAAACATATCTTGCTGCAAATGTTTTGTGTGACATATGTGCTTAAATATATTTCATTAGGGGTTACTTCAAGCACCATAACCACTTCAGTGTTTCACAGTGGTCACAGTGTTTGAAGGCTGTATGTGCAGCATTTAAATTCGAAAATCTGCACATACAAATATAATGAATGTATACCTTGGACTGCCATGCGGCAGCCACGATGTTTCCGGTACCACGCCGCTCCAGCCAAAGTGAACGCTGGGTGTCATTCCGATGCTCCTGGTGCAGACCATGGTCTGCACTCCCTTACGTTTGCAAGGCTGCTGGATCACTGCGGCAGCATTGTGCCACCTATGGAGTCCTTACAAATTACAGGACCCTGTAGGTTTAGGATTCCAATAGAATGTTGGTTGTCCCTATATAAATTCCACTCTTTCTGAAGATCCTTGCCCTGTTGTGGTTTATTCTACCCGAGAGTGCGTACTGAATAGTTGGTGTATTTTAACTATTCTGATTTTCTATTTCCTTGATCTTTGCTTATTTATTCATATTTTAAGCATTTATGGCATTCTTGATCTTGGCTTTTCATTTGGCTCATGATTCATGACTCATTTGACTCATGTATTTTCATCTATCTATGGCACACATTAGCCTCGCCACGCTAAGATCTACGCATATCCCTCTGGCCTTTTCTTTGTTTTGGTTACTGTTTCCCTAAATTCTGTGTGTAGGGATTACCCAATCTCGACACTGAGTTGCTGTTTGGCATGTAACTCCACCTCTGGTGGTGTCAATAGCCAGCCTGGAATGAGAAAAAGGAAAGGTGTGTCGGGTGCTCACTCCAAAACAAACAATTAAATAGGCAGCAGTAACCAATACAAGGATTCCCAGCCTTGTAAAAAAATACAGTATAGAAAGAAGAAAGGAGGAAACCGCGCCTTACATAAATTATATATACATACACTTGATGTCTCTTGATGCTTGTAAGTATATCCTCAAAAAAAGAACACAAAAAGAGAATATACAATAGTGTAGTATGTTTAACAATATTGGAAAAGATAATAAATAAAGCAGAGGTATTTTAAACTCACATATGGTAGAGCTATTATAGGAGCTCTACCGTAATTGGCCTGGACGGTACAATCCCTGTCTTAGGATAAAAGGTCCAACGTCTTGGCACTCCAATGGTATGGTGGTATGAATCAAAATGGAAAAAGAAGGGAAACTCCAATAGTGTAATAGTTCCAGCTCCAAATATGAATAAATAAATAAAAGTAATATACTCACATTTGCTAGAGCAGACAACTTGCTCTAGTATATAAGGCTTACAGTGGTATAATCCCCACTGAAGGATATGCAGGTCAGGAAGTGGATGATGCAAATGAAATATAATAGAATATAACGTAAAAGATATATTTAATAGTATTGCAAATAAAATATAATATATTGCTATAAAAGATAACACTTAACGCGTTTCGCCAATGGCTTCATCAGAAGTGTAAAAAACATACATCCAAAACTTCCTATAAATACATAACTTACATGAGTAAAATGATTGTTGCTGTCTTTCAGGTGTACCTCGGCAAAAAACCGCGCATAGGCGAAAGCCGGAAGTAGTGCGGCGTCCACGTGGGTGTTGGCAAGCCAGCGTGGAACGCACGCATCATAAACAGAAGCGGCGCGGCCAGCGTGGGCGCACATGTCAGGACCGGAAGCGGCGCGGCGTAGGCGTGTATGTCTTCATTCACTATGAAGCGCACGCGTCGCGCCGGAAGTGACGCGGCGCCCACGTGGGTGAAAAAATGTAAATCATGCGTTCCAACGTGGAACGCATAACTGCCGCAACCGCAATCTATCACATAAAAAGAATTAAATACATAAAAAAGATAGAATGATACATAAACAAAACATATAGGTAAGATAGCAAATGGGCTTTACTTCCTTGATTTATAAGAGAGAAGTAGAAAGTTCATAAAAATTCTTTTCGCCAGGTAGTTCAAACATCTAGTGTTGCAGAATAGTGTCCCATCAATTAGAGATTAAAGATGTGTATGGAGGCAACAAGATATTATTTCTCTTTTTTTTTTTTTTCTCCTTTTCTTATTTTTTTCTTCCCCTCCCTCTTCTTTGATGTAGGCATAAAGATGTGTAGGGTACATAGCATCCTTTTTGTGGAGGCAATCTTGAGCTTCCAATAATACATACAATGTCCATCATTCATTATTGTAAGTCCAATTTTTTGTGAAAAGGATGTATAAAAAATAAATAAGATAAATAAATGGATGGTCCTATTATGTACATGTCTTAACAAATGTACATATATAGGTAACACAGAAATATAGGGATAGACACATATAAATAAGAGTATAAATATAAAATCAAATTTAAAACATATATATATATATATATATATATATATGAAAAATATGGAATAGATATAAAAATGAATACAGTAAAACAATAAAACAATTAAGAAATGGGGTGAATAAGAAAAAAATAGGATGATATAAGATGAGATGGAGAAAAAAAAAAAAAATAAATAAATAAATAAATAAATAAATTATAAAAAATTAAATAGATCGAATTCTATATTTAAACCATCTGGGTGTAGGGTATTCATATTGTAAACCCATTCCATCTCTCTACGTCCTATTTTTTTAATATAATCACCTCCCCTCCAGTGTGATTTAACGATGGCAATACCAGTGAAGGTGAGATTTTTAGGGTCATTGTCATGAATACAGAAATGGGATGAGACAGAATGATTTTTAAAACCTTTTTCTATGTTTCTACAATGCTCAGCAATACGAGTTTTTAAAGGTCTAATAGTCCGTCCTATATATTGTAGGCCGCAAGGGCATTCCAATAAATATATAACGTTTTTACTGTTGCATGTAATTATTTCTTTTATGTTATAGAACTTGCCGTTATTGTTTGATTTAAAATTCGATCTTAGTCTAGATGTAGATTTAGTTTTTTTACATGCAATACACATGTTGCACTTGTAGAAACCTTTTATTTTGTTTAAAAAACTGATCCCTATATTTTTTTCGGGTTTTGTGTAATTTTTTGTAAGATGCATCCTTAAGTTGGGCGCTCCCCTAAAAACTATTTTTGGTCTCTCTGGTATTAAATTTTTAAGAATAGTATCTTCTTTTAGTAAATTCCAATGTCTATTAATAATCTTTTTTAATTCTTTATTTTTGTTGTTGTAGTCTAATATGACAGGTAATGAGATATTTTGTTTTTGATTTCTCTTCTTAGTTAGTAGGTCTTTTTGGTTAATAGACAAAGCTTGATTAAAAGTGGATTGGATAGTGGTTTTATTGTACCCTTTTTTAAAAAAACTTTTTTTTATTGTTTCTGCTTGCTGTTTAAAAACTGGGGTTTCTGTACAGTTTCTTCTTAATCTTAACATTTGACTTTTTGGGATGCTGTCAAGCCATACTTTATTATGGCAGCTTTTAGTATCGATGTAATTATTGACATGGACTTGTTTGAAGTGAGTTTTAGTATGGATTGTGTTATTTTTTATATAGATATTTAGGTCTAAATATGTGATATGAGAATCACTGATTTCTGAAGTTAAAATTATACCTTCTTGGTTAGTGTTTAAAAAGGAAATAAATTTGTTAGCTTCGGTAGAACTACCTTTCCATATAAAGAGGAGGTCGTCAATGTATCTTGAATAGGACACCAGGTTTTTTGCCCAGCCATGCTCACTCCAGATATATCTGTCTTCCCATTCCGCCATATAGGGTTAGCATAACTGGGCGCAAACCTGGTGCCCATAGCTGTGCCCGTTTTTTGTAAATAAAAACTGTCTTTGAACCAGAAATAATTGTTACTGAGGATTAAATCTATCCCTTTGATTAGAAATTCTATTTGATCCTGTGGCATTATTTTTTCTTTTTCTAACATCGTTCTTACTGCTGTGCATCCTTGATGGTGTTTAATAATAGTGTATAAGGACTGGACGTCACAAGTGATGAGTAGAAAGTCATTCTCCCATTGAATACTCTTGAGTTTGTTTAATAGATCAATAGAGTCCTTTAAGTAGGATTTAGTTCTTACAACATATGGTTGTAATAGGATGTCAATATACTCGGACAGATTTGAAAATAAAGATCCGATCCCGGACACTATAGGTCTGCCGGGGGGGTTGATTAGACTTTTATGAATCTTGGGAAGAAAATAAATAACCGGAATACGGGGATGTTGTATGTTAATATATATGAGTTCATTTTTGTTCAGGATACCAGATCTCTTTCCCTCCTCTAGATACATTTGAAGCTTTGATGTCATCTCTGGTGTGGGATTATTACTGAGTTTTATGTACGTATTAACATCATTTAGTTGTTTATAGGCCTCATTTTCATATTGGTCCTTTGATAATATGACCAAGCCTCCTCCCTTGTCGGCAGGTTTAATGACAATAGATTCATCATTATAAAGATCTTTTAGTATTTTTATTTCATGCTTATTTAAATTAGATCTTTCAGTATATTTATTTTTGGTCTCCAACCTTTTAAGATCTTTGCAGACTCTACGTTCAAATATGTCTAATGCACTGGATTTTAGATGGGCTGGATAGAAAGTAGATTTTTTCTTTAGATTACTTCTTATATAATCATTGTTTATATCTGTATTTCCAGTAGTATGGGTGACTGTTTGTGTATTTTGTACGCCTGGCATTTTAGAGATGAAAAATCTTTGTAAGGTGGCATTTCTGACGAATTTATTAACATCAATATAGGTTAAAAAGGAATTGTATGTTCTAGTGGGGGCAAATTTTAAGCCTTTTTTAAGGATATTCGTTTGAGATTCATTTAGATATTTATTAGAAAGATTGAATATGCCCGTAGGGGAAGTATTGTTTGTTTTTAAAATCTTCCTTTTTTGCTCTCTTCTCCCTGCCCTTCTACCTCTAGAATTCTTTTTCGACTCTTTATAGGTGTTATGTTTAGGCAGTTGGTATTCCTTTCCCGATTGGACGGGATCTCTAAAAAAGAGGTCTCGTCCAATTGGTCACAAAAAGACAAAGCATGATATTTATTTTTGGTGATAATTTCATTCGGTGAATTAGATTTGTGAATATCATATTTGCTGTGTCTATTGTGATTTACCTTTTCCCAAGGATATTCTCTATCTTTGAGTTTCTGTGTTGGGGAACTGGGAATATATGTGTGTTTGTGGGTTTTGGGTCTTACTATCATTGGTGATTCATTTGGGTGTCTTTCTTTTCTTTGATTTCTCATATTTTGCATTCTGTGGCTAGGTTCTTTAGTATTAAATCCTGAAGGTCTGTGATAAGACTGTTTTGATTTGTCTTGAAACTCTTCATTAGTGTTGCTGTAGGATTTTAGTCTATTAGTGGTAGTGAATCTGTCAGTGAATTTACGTGGTGATCTATTCCAATAATTTCTTCTATATGTGTGTTCAGATCTTTCATTATCATCTCTGCTTTGTAAGCGTTTAGGTCTAAAAATATTATTTTCTGTGTGAAAGTTGTGTGGGTGATTAGTGTTTTTCCATCTTTGCTGTCGTGGTGCTTTTTTTGTGTTATAAGTACGTATTTGGTTATTAGCATAATCATGCTTGTCTCTATTGTATTTATTTTTTTTAATTCTTTTAATATCTGTTTCTGTTTTTTCTACTGTTTTTTTGATATTTTGTGTTTGGTTAAAGTATTCTTCTGTGTCAGCAAACGGGATTAATTGGTCTCTTAGACTGTTGATCTTTTTGTCTAAATTAAGAAGTCTTTCACTTTTAACCTTAATCAGGCTCCCCATAAGGCCGAACGTACAGAACTCTAAGTGGTTATACCACTCTTCCATGAAACATCTGTTGTCTGTATCTGATGTCGGCATTTTGAAAAGTCTGAGACCTCTTGGGGTGATTTTCTCTTCAACATATTTGCTAAGAGTCGCAATTTCCCATCTTAGCTTCATTTCTTTAATTAAAGAAAATTCTAATTCTTTTAGTAATTCTTTTGGGTCATCGAATGTAATCAATGGTTCGTTGTTATCCAATATATCTAAGTCATCGATGTCATTAAAGATGTCATTTAAGTCGATATTGTAATTATCTCGATATTCAAATAAAGTCATGTTGAATTATTGAATTTTGTGGAGCACCTCGGCTAGGAAGTGATATAGCATTAGAAAAAGGAAAGGTGTGTCGGGTGCTCACTCCAAAACAAACAATTAAATAGGCAGCAGTAACCAATACAAGGATTCCCAGCCTTGTAAAAAAATACAGTATAGAAAGAAGAAAGGAGGAAACCGCGCCTTACATAAATTATATATACATACACTTGATGTCTCTTGATGGTTGTAAGTATATCCTCAAAAAAAGAACACAGAAAGAGAATATACAATAGTGTAGTATGTTTAACAATATTGGAAAAGATAATAAATAAAGCGGAGGTATTTTAAACTCACATATGGTAGAGCTATTATAGGAGCTCTACCGTAATTGGCCTGGACGGTACAATCCCCGTCTTAGGATAAAAGGTCCAACGTCTTGGCACTCCAATGGTATGGTGGTACGAATCGAAATGGAAAAAGAAGGGAAACTCCAATAGTGTAATAGTTCCAGCTCCAAATATGAATAAATAAATAAAAGTAATATACTCACATTTGCTAGAGCAGACAACTTGCTCTAGTATATAAGGCTTACAGTGGTATAATCCCCACTGAAGGATATGCAGGTCAGGAAGTGGATGATGCAAATGAAATATAATAGAATATAACGTAAAAGATATATTTAATAGTATTGCAAATAAAATATAATATATTGCTATAAAAGATAACACTTAACGCGTTTCGCCAATGGCTTCATCAGAAGTGTAAAAAACATACATCCAAAACTTCCTATAAATACATAACTTACATGAGTAAAATGATTGTTGCTGTCTTTCAGGTGTACCTCGGCAAAAAACCGCGCATAGGCGAAAGCCGGAAGTAGTGCGGCGTCCACGTGGGTGTTGGCAAGCCAGCGTGGAACGCACGCATCATAAACAGAAGCGGCGCGGCCAGCGTGGGCGCACATGTCAGGACCGGAAGCGGCGCGGCGTAGGCGTGTATGTCTTCATTCACTATGAAGCGCACGCGTCGCGCCGGAAGTGACGCGGCGCCCACGTGGGTGAAAAAATGTAAATCATGCGTTCCAACGTGGAACGCATAACTGCCGCAACCGCAATCTATCACATAAAAAGAATTAAATACATAAAAAAGATAGAATGATACATAAACAAAACATATAGGTAAGATAGCAAATGGGCTTTACTTCCTTGATTTATAAGAGAGAAGTAGAAAGTTCATAAAAATTCTTTTCGCCAGGTAGTTCAAACATCTAGTGTTGCAGAATAGTGTCCCATCAATTAGAGATTAAAGATGTGTATGGAGGCAACAAGATATTATTTCTCTTTTTTTCTCCTTTTCTTATTCTTTTCTTCCCCTCCCTCTTCTTTGATGTAGGCATAAAGATGTGTAGGGTACATAGCATCCTTTTTGTGGAGGCAATCTTGAGCTTCCAATAATACATACAATGTCCATCATTCATTATTATAAGTCCAATTTTTTGTGAAAAGGATGTATAAAAAATAAATAAGATAAATAAATGGATGGTCCTATTATGTACATGTCTTAACAAATGTACATATATAGGTAACACAGAAATATAGGGATAGACACATATAAATAAGAGTATAAATATAAAATCAAATTTAAAACATATATATATATATATATATATGAAAAATATGGAATAGATATAAAAATGAATACAGTAAAACAATAAAACAATTAAGAAATGGGGTGAATAAGAAAAAAATAGGATGATATAAGATGAGATGGAAAAAAAAAAAAAAAGGAGTTGGAATTTACTAAAAGAAGATACTATTCTTAAAAATTTAATACCAGAGAGACCAAAAATAGTTTTTAGGGGAGCGCCCAACTTAAGGATGCATCTTACAAAAAATTACACAAAACCCGAAAAAAATATAGGGATCAGTTTTTTAAACAAAATAAAAGGTTTCTACAAGTGCAACATGTGTATTGCATGTAAAAAAACTAAATCTACATCTAGACTAAGATCGAATTTTAAATCAAACAATAACGGCAAGTCCTATAACATAAAAGAAATAATTACATGCAACAGTAAAAACGTTATATATTTATTGGAATGCCCTTGTGGCCTACAATATATAGGACGGACTATTAGACCTTTAAAAATTCGTATTGCTGAGCATTGTAGAAACATAGAAAAAGGTTTTAAAAATCATTCTGTCTCATCCCATTTCTGTATTCATGACAATGACCCTAAAAATCTCACCTTCACTGGTATTGCCATCGTTAAATCACACTGGAGGGGAGGTGATTATATTAAAAAAATAGGACGTACAGAGATGGAATGGGTTTACAATATGAATACCCTACACCCAGATGGTTTAAATATAGAATTCGATCTATTTAATTTTTTATAATTTATTTATTTATTTTTTATTTTTTTTCTCCATCTCATCTTATATCATCCTATTTTTTTCTTATTCGCGACGGGGATTGTACCGTCCAGGCCAATTACGGTAGAGCTCCTATAATAGCTCTACCATATGTGAGTTTAAAATACCTCTGCTTTATTTATTATCTTTTCCAATATTGTTAAACATACTACACTATTGTATATTCTCTTTTTGTGTTCTTTTTTTGAGGATATACTTACAAGCATCAAGAGACATCAAGTGTATGTATATATAATTTATGTAAGGTGCGGTTTCCTCCTTTCTTCTTTCTATACTGTATTTTTTTACAAGGCTGGGAATCCTTGTATTGGTTACTGCTGCCTATTTAATTGTTTGTTTTGGAGTGAGCACCCGACACACCTTTCCTTTTTCTATTGCTATATCACTTCCTAGCCGAGGTGCTCCACAAAATTCAATAATTCAACATGACTTTATTTGAATATCGAGATAATTACAATATCGACTTAAATGACATCTTTAATGACATCGATGACTTAGATATATTGGATAACAACGAACCATTGATTACATTCGATGACCCAAAAGAATTACTAAAAGAATTAGAATTTTCTTTAATTAAAGAAATGAAGCTAAGATGGGAAATTGCGACTCTTAGCAAATATGTTGAAGAGAAAATCACCCCAAGAGGTCTCAGACTTTTCAAAATGCCGACATCAGATACAGACAACAGATGCTTCATGGAAGAGTGGTATAACCACTTAGAGTTCTGTACGTTCGGCCTTATGGGGAGCCTGATTAAGGTTAAAAGTGAAAGACTTCTTAATTTAGACAAAAAGATCAACAGTCTAAGAGACCAATTAATCCCGTTTGCTGACACAGAAGAATACTTTAACCAAACACAAAATATCAAAAAAACAGTAGAAAAAACAGAAACAGATATTAAAAGAATTAAAAAAAATAATAAAAAAAAAATAAAATAAATACAATAGAGACAAGCATGATTATGCTAATAACCAAATACGTACTTATAACACAAAAAAAGCACCACGACAGCAAAGATGGAAAAACACTAATCACCCACACAACTTTCACACAGAAAATAATATTTTTAGACCTAAACGCTTACAAAGCAGAGATGATAATGAAAGATCTGAACACACATATAGAAGAAATTATTGGAATAGATCACCACGTAAATTCACTGACAGATTCACTACCACTAATAGACTAAAATCCTACAGCAACACTAATGAAGAGTTTCAAGACAAATCAAAACAGTCTTATCACAGACCTTCAGGATTTAATACTAAAGAACCTAGCCACAGAATGCAAAATATGAGAAATCAAAGAAAAGAAAGACACCCAAATGAATCACCAATGATAGTAAGACCCAAAACCCACAAACACACATATATTCCCAGTTCCCCAACACAGAAACTCAAAGATAGAGAATATCCTTGGGAAAAGGTAAATCACAATAGACACAGCAAATATGATATTCACAAATCTAATTCACCGAATGAAATTATCACCAAAAATAAATATCATGCTTTGTCTTTTTGTGACCAATTGGACGAGACCTCTTTTTTAGAGATCCCGTCCAATCGGGAAAGGAATACCAACTGCCTAAACATAACACCTATAAAGAGTCGAAAAAGAATTATAGAGGTAGAAGGGCAGGGAGAAGAGAGCAAAAAAGGAAGATTTTAAAAACAAACAATACTTCCCCTACGGGCATATTCAATCTTTCTAATAAATATCTAAATGAATCTCAAACGAATATCCTTAAAAAAGGCTTAAAATTTGCCCCCACTAGAACATACAATTCCTTTTTAACCTATATTGATGTTAATAAATTCGTCAGAAATGCCACCTTAAAAAGATTTTTCATCTCTAAAATGCCAGGCGTACAAAATACACAAACAGTCACCCATACTACTGGAAATACAGATATAAACAATGATTATATAAGAAGTAATCTAAAGAAAAAATCTACTTTCTATCCAGCCCATCTAAAATCCAGTGCATTAGACATATTTGAACGTAGAGTCTGCAAAGATCTTAAAAGGTTGGAGACCAAAAATAAATATACTGAAAGATCTAATTTAAATAAGCATGAAATAAAAATACTAGAAGATCTTTATAATGATGAATCTATTGTCATTAAACCTGCCGACAAGGGAGGAGGCTTGGTCATATTATCAAAGGACCAATATGAAAATGAGGCCTATAAACAACTAAATGATGTTAATACGTACATAAAACTCAGTAATAATCCCACACCAGAGATGACATCAAAGCTTCAAATGTATCTAGAGGAGGGAAAGAGATCTGGTATCCTGAACAAAAATGAACTCATATATATTAACATACAACATCCCCGTATTCCGGTTATTTATTTTCTTCCCAAGATTCATAAAAGTCTAATCAACCCCCCCGGCAGACCTATAGTGTCCGGGATCGGATCTTTATTTTCAAATCTGTCCGAGTATATTGACATCCTATTACAACCATATGTTGTAAGAACTAAATCCTACTTAAAGGACTCTATTGATCTATTAAACAAACTCAAGAGTATTCAATGGGAGAATGACTTTCTACTCATCACTTGTGACGTCCAGTCCTTATACACTATTATTAAACACCATCAAGGATGCACAGCAGTAAGAACGATGTTAGAAAAAGAAAAAATAATGCCACAGGATCAAATAGAATTTCTAATCAAAGGGATAGATTTAATCCTCAGTAACAATTATTTCTGGTTCAAAGACAGTTTTTATTTACAAAAAACGGGCACAGCTATGGGCACCAGGTTTGCGCCCAGTTATGCTAACCTCTATATGGCGGAATGGGAAGACAGATATATCTGGAGTGAGCATGGCTGGGCAAAAAACCTGGCGTCCTATTCAAGATACATTGACGACCTCCTCTTTATATGGAAAGGTAGTTCTACCGAAGCTAACAAATTTATTTCCTTTTTAAACACTAACCAAGAAGGTATAATTTTAACTTCAGAAATCAGTGATTCTCATATCACATATTTAGACCTAAATATCTATATAAAAAATAACACAATCCATACTAAAACTCACTTCAAACAAGTCCATGTCAATAATTACATCGATACTAAAAGCTGCCATAATAAAGTATGGCTTGACA